TATCTATCTATCTATCTATCTATCTATCTATCTATCTATCTATCTATGAAAACTTATATTCAAAATATGTGGTATATAGAATAAATGGCTTGATGGGAAAAAAAGAGAAAACGTTCCAACGTGTACCCCAATTTTAGAGACAGAAGCCCTTTGTTACTGTTTTACCAACGCTTTGAGCTGTACGCCTTGTGTGTGTGTGAGTGTGTGTGTGTGTTTCTTGCACGGTTTGTGTGTCCTGCTGCTGCTGCTGCCGCTGCGCTCATCTGATTGAGTGCACGAGAAAGAATCGAGAGATATGGCAAAAGAAATGCGCACGATTGCGTAGCCTCGCCGCGTGTGTGTGTGTGTGTGTGTGTGTGTGTGAGTGGGACTGGCTGCGTTTGCGCGTCGCCTCGGGGAAATGTGAGTTGAATGCGCGGAAGCAGCTGATGCGCCGGTGAGGGATGCTCTCCTTCCCCTCTCCTATCTCCTCCTCTTTCCACACAGGCGGGATGAGATTTCTGGCCGCAGCGAAAACAGTGCCCCCTTTTTTTCCCTTTTTTTTCCCGGCGTTTTTTTTTTGTCTTTATTTATTTATTTTTCTCCAAAACCGGGGACGGCCACTATCTATTTTTTTTTTTCCCACCCTCGTCCCCTGAAGTCTGAAGCATTATGAGCCACAGATCCCGGACGGAATGCGTCTCTTTTGAGGACTCTTTTCCAGCGGGAGCGGCGGGAGGAACATGGAACTTGACCGGCTCCGCTTCCGTGCGTAACGCGCCCCGACCAGAGATAACGGCGCGCGGAGGGGGGCGTCCGGAGAGAACGCGGGCTCCGGGGATGTGTCGGTGGTGGTAAAAAAAAAAAAAAAAAAAAAGGGGTGATCACTCACGGAGGATAAAAGAAAAACGGAGAGAGGGGGGGAAGGAAGGAAGGAGGGGAGAGAAAAAAAAATGCAGTTTGAGACATTGCGTCAGTTCTGTAGCTCGGTTTTCTCCCATTTCAACGGAGCCTTCGCCGGGCCGCAGAACATCCTGCAGACCGAGCTCCTGGAGCAGGCGCTCAGCAGCATCGGGTGAGTGATTCCTTTCCGAAGAAATGCCCAGATTTATGAGGAAGGGCTTTCCCCGTCGGTATGTCAAACGAGTCGCTATTTGGGGGGGGGGGGGGGAAGAGGAGGGAGGAAGAGGGGAGTAGGGGGTGGGGGGTTGCTGCGTTTATCGATCGCAGCCAGCCTGCGTAAAAAGCAACCCAGAGTGGAGTATCTGCTGCTATTGCTGCTGCTTCTGCTGCAGATTTCTCCCCCCGGCATGGATGCTGGGAGCCATCCTGCCGCGGTAGGCTGCCTTTCACCCGCACGTGCGCGCAGAGAGTGCTGGTTTTGGATTGGATAAGGGGGGGGAGCTCGAAGGGGTACTTTAAAAAAAAAGAAAAAGAGAAAAAAAAGCGTCCAGCTACAACGATACATATAGAGTGTTGTGCGCGTGCGCGCGCGCCCCAACGCAACGCTGCGGTAGCGTGTGTGACCCCCCCCCACCCCTCACAGTTGACAACACAAGGGGAGGTGGGGGGGTGCACCTATCCAAAAGCCCCGGAGCTGGAAAGGAGTGGACGCAGTACTCGTGATCCAACCCCCCAAACCACGCACTCTTTACGGTCCCCCCACTCACACCCCCTCCCCAAAAGAATGCCATACGTGCATGCCATGTGCCCGCAAAAGCTGTCAGTTTTGAAGCTATAGGAGAGCACTCATCATTTCAGCTGGGGGGGATGTGGCCCATTTCACCGCAGTTCTAGCTCCAAATCAGCAAGCAAGTCAGCTGAAACGGCAAAAAAAAATTTGAGATACAAAAAGTTGAAGTGGGGTACTGGTATGTTTCTGAGAGAGAGAGAGAGAGTGAGTTAGTTTTTGTTCTTGCCCGGATGCGTTAGAGCATATTATGATTAGTCTGCTAAATGTTCTGTTCCCCCACAGAGAGGCGTCTGGTCATCTGGCCAACTATAGCTGCTCAGCTCATTATGCAGATTGCAGAAGGGCTTCCAGTGTGCAAACAGGAACAGACTCCGTTGGCATGCTCTCCAAAGAACATAGACCTCTTTTCCCCCCTCTTACTATGGACGCGCGAAAGCCCCCCCCCCCCCCCCGTATCGCCCCCCCGTCCGCTGTCCACCTCTGGGGACTGCGAGCCTTTTCCCTCTTGCCCCCCCCCTCCACCCTACTGTCAGAAATAATTTACAGCATTGCTGGGCTCTCTGCCACCTCACATTACATGGCCAGAACACTCAGCCCCTGGAAGGGCGGAACAGGGGGGCTCTGTGCCTGGAAACTGTAATCCAGCAATCATCACATCTGACTGATTAGATTGAACTTATTTTCCATCACTACACCCCCCCCTCTTCCTCCTCCTCCTCCTCCCCCCTCCCGTAAAACCCTTCCTTCACCTTAAACTGCTTCAGAGTGGTACTCCGACGCAGGTCCTGGTCTGTAATCTATACGATTCGATTTCGATTTTACAGACTGGGGAATGCCAGTGTGTTCTTTAAAAATGTTCACAGCTCAACTTTTCCAGCTCTGTGGCCGGTTCACTGATTTTTGGGGTCTAGAAACGGTGTCATATCGGGACACCGGCCGTATGTCAGTAGCTGGATGGTTCCGTTCGAGCGGGGCTGCTGTTGTGTTATCCTGTGACTCTTTCTCTCTTCGACTCTCCGTTTCTTCTCCCTGGCTCGGGCAGAGACCTCTTAATGGGTTGCGTGCTTTTAGATCCAGCCTCCATGTATTATGCATGCGTGCGTCAGCAGAGGTCCTAATGGGGTGCGGGGACCTGTTCTTAGAAGGCCCAAATGGTTTTCGCATCCAGTGTGGTCGCAGTTAAATCCTCGTGTGCGCGTTTATGAGTATTTGGTACGATGCATGAGGTCATACGTTGGAGGAAAATCAGCCTATTTAAGCTAGTATCCCCTTTACACCCCGTCTCCCCACACCCCCCCTGAAACAACGGAGTTTCAAAAGGTGTAGTGTTTAAATCCCCGCCTCAATGCTAGCAGAAGTGACTCACAAAGCAAAGCAGGAGATCGTCAAGGTTCTGGGATGGCTGGATCTGCCCTTTCAGAGCTGATAAGATCTGGGCATTTAAGTTTCTTATAAAGAAGTCTAGGGAAAAAAACAAGCAATGGAAGAGAAACACACAGCACTAAGCTATTCTCACTCGCATTGTTCACTCCTTTGAAAGAGAATGAGAATGTTCGGCATGTAAGGCTTTTTGTCACGTGTTGGATTCATGAGGCGTTTAAAAAAAAAAAAAAACTTTTTTGCCTCATCTTACCAGTCTGTATTGGTAACAGGGTTTTGTGGGCATGGGGTGAGCCTCAGAGTTTTTCTGTAGATGAAATCAGGAGAGCGAAATCGGTAAGAAAAAAAAAAGAACAAAAGCACCAGGAGGCGGATGGTGCGCCCGGGTGTCAGCGAGGTAGACACAGAAGAGCACAGGATCCGGGACTCTGAGCCTCCAGCGCCTTGGATCCAGGTTCCTGTGACAGAGCTGGGGGGAGAGCAGACCAAAAGCAGAGTCTGAAGAGAAACAGGAAGGATGTGACAGGGACACGGATACTTCCTCGCGCTCTGTCTCCTCTCAGTTTTTGACACTTGTGTTGATCTGAGCGCACATCCACCCCGGTATCTCATTCTTTCCTTCACTTTATCATTTTTTGTTTAATTTTTTTACCATTTTTTTTTTTTTTTTAGCATTGTTTCAATCAGCTTAGTGCACATTTGGGGGCCGCGAACTTGCAGAGGGCATCACTTTCTCCGCGTTTCCGCTCACGCTCTGCCATCTTTTTGGCCACACGTTGAAGCGGCTCTGGAGCGGCGTAACATCTTGAAATTTGAGGGTATTGGTTATTTCTTCAACCGGCGCCTCTTCCCCATTAGCCGGCCCACGCTCAGTCCCACCAGCCCCCTTCCCGGCCCCATGGCGTTACACCTGGCTGTTGGCAAAACTCGGCAGCTGTAATTAAACTGGCCCTTTTATTGGTTTTGTCCCACCAAGGGAGATGAGCACAGGAAGGAGGGAGCCCCCCCCCCCCCTCCCCCCCCCCCGCTTTATTGCCTAGGTGTCTAAGAGGGGTGTTATTATGATTGCATCGGAAGAGCGTCTGAGAGAAAAAAAGAGAGAAGGCAAGGCCACGCAGAGGTAGAGGAGGAAGAGAAAGTTGGACGGATGGAGACAGCAGTAAAGGCTGAATTGATATGCTCGACTCCTCTCCGCTCTCGTCAAATCATATCAAAGCATCAGACCAGAGTCAGAGCCCCAGAAAGAAGCAGCGAGAGAGAGAGAAAACCGGGGGCTGTCTGAGGGCGATATAGCCAGATAAACATCGTCTCAGCAGCACAAAGTCCACCAGTTACAGTTTCTTCTGGCCGGAACGTTTCCTTATGGTCATTAAAGCCTGGTGCTTAACAATCTCCTCCCATTTGCTGATGGCATCAAGAGAAGGCTGCTGAGTGAACGTGCCGGTCAGCACTTTGCTGTGTGTTTCGGCCAGGCATCTTCGCAAGCCCACTTGTAGGTGTTTAACTCCCAGTCCCTTGAATGTCAATTTTTCTCTTCACAAGGCCTTTTTCTCAGTGCTGCTGATGTCATCTTCTTTCAGATTGCCGAGAGAGAAGAGAGAAAATGCAGAGAAAAAGGCCACTTGAATAGTAGCTACTGACGGTGTCAGTACCCACTGGATGTTTACATAGATGATAAATTAGATAGCTTTTGCTGTCATGGTTTACTGTTGGTACGGGAAATAAGTTTTCTTACAAGCGACTCAGCTGTTTTTTAAGCATTCCCATGTAAAGACAACAGCTTGGTGCACAAATTCAAGTAGATACGTTTAAACGATTTTGGCAACAAAAGGTAATTTATTAATTTAACGCGACGAAAAATGTTCTAATAGTTTATTTTTTCTGAACTTACAAATGCCCCTAACCTTTCACAAGTAATCACAATCAACTTCAACTGGTAGATTCTCTTCAGAGGCATAGAGAGTGTGTATTTTTGTTGTGTTTCAAAGCACGCTTTGGATTCCGTTCCAAAGAAGAGTCCAAAGAAAACTCAAAACCTTTTTCTTTCAAATGAATTTTAGCTGCTTAACAGACTGACAATATAGAAATCTTTCTTGAGGATGGATTTCTGCTTCGATAATGAATCACAATCGCCTGAAACATACTAGACGGAGAGAAGTTGAAGAATTCAGCCCCAAGAGCACTGCTCTGACAAATGAGTGACGTTAGCATGTCATCACAAGGTCCTATTCTCCTCGTGAACGACTACACCAGAAGAAGTGAACAAAATGAATTAAAAAAAGCCCCCCTCAGCATTCTTGTACACTGGATCATATGAAATATGATATGAATATGAAATACATATTTGAGAGAATTGTGAGCTAGATAAAGCAATTGGATGATGAGCATTTTGAATGGTCGTCCCAAAGTTTTGCTGTGAAAGCCGAACCCCAGCTATTTCAGTGGTGTTTATTTTATTGATGAGTGTTTATGACATTCCAGAGTTTGTATATGAGTGCATTTTCCTTCCTCGTTTGGCCTTGGTGGTCATAGGAACTGTGAGCTGAGACCTGAGGCTATCTGTCCCTATAAAATGTCGTCATTCTTGTGTTACGTCGGATTTGTTGATTTACGAGGCCTGTAAGGTCAGACCTGTAGACGAGTGGGTGGACTTTCTTTGTTAAGGCCCTATTATTGAGAGAAATGGAGTCCATTTGCTACGAGTGAGCAAACATCTCATGCTCGTCTTTCTGAACCAATTTGAGATAATTCATTGACTTAAAGCTTTCTCAGGACATAGCTAAACCCTTTAAGAGATGGAAGTTTAAAACCTTTTTCATTTTGACAGATTTTAAATCCAGTTTGAAGGTGCACATGACTTGCAATGGTGTTGACTTCTCATTTAATCTATGTGTTCTTTAACTTACAGGAGAGAAAAAAAATACAATAGGGTTGACAGTTTGCTGAGTTGACAAGCTTAGAACACGAGATTCACCAGAAGTAGTCTTTTAGTGCCAAGTGTTCCACTAGAATCCAAATTTAAACTTAATGCTTAGGCTTTTAGAGTTACTTTTAAGTGATTTATTTCAGTATTTAGTTATTCTCCTGCTAACAGTTTCACTCCATATTTACCCAGTGCACAACAGCCACAAAACATGACTGGTTTTGTGAACAGGGGACGGGATGCTATGTGTATCTTTGGTCATTTAATGTCATTTAATGGCCAAAGACGCACCCAAAGAAGCCATGTGATGAAGCTGTAGCGAGAAATATTAATCTCCCCATCAGCATATATGCAGTCCACTGCTATTGTCATCCTCTTTTGCAACCCCCTGACTGTATTTCACCAGCTCAATCAGACTATTTCCATAGTTTACAAACTCTGCACCACGTGGGCTTCTTCTATATCTTGTTGCTTATGTTTAATTAGCTTAGTGTGTTAGGTGTTAGCCTGCCCTGACAGGGCTTTCCACTCTCCCTGGGCTTCTCTTGCCACACAGCATAGGGGTGAACCCAACAAAGGAGCGATCAAAGCCTCCTTCTCTGGCAGGCGGATGCTGAACCAAACTAAAGTTCTTCCTCTATTTCCATTTCTCCCCCTTTATTATTTTTGGAGTCTGCTCGCTGGTTTTAATGAAACCCTATGTAATATTCATGCAACTCCCAGTGTTTACTAGTTCATTAGGTTTTGGGATAGGAGTTGATGTGATCTCCAGGGGTGGATTGGGCCAGGAGAAAAAAGATAACTGAGCATTTTTCTTTCTTTTTTCACTTGCTAGGCTTGCTTCCATTAATTTAAATATCCAAGTAATTACTTTCATCCAAGCTTCCAATTTCTACAGTTACCCTAAATGCAAATAATAAATTCTATACGATTGGACTCCTGCTTCCAGTTATATGTGGATTCGTAAATCTACAAAGTGCGGTTTTGTCAAAAGTGATCTGACCGGTTTAGAAGGTGAAACGGTGAGTTTAGTTTCACAATATTGGCACCGAGCTGAAGTTAACAGTCATACACCTCCCCAGAATGCGGCATCTGGCTGGTTCAGCTCTTCGGCCGCGGGCCTTTTTTTTTTTTTTTAGAGATGCTGTCTTATCCAATTACAATTAGCCTCACAAAAGGTTTCGTCTGGACCCCTCCTGCACAAAAATCTGACCACGGATTCCTCAATTTAGAGATGACTTTGACTCAACCTTTGAATGTCGGTGAAAGGTCTTTAAACCAGATGAAGAGAAGTTTGAGATTTCACCGCAAAGTTAGTTTTTTTTTTCCCTTTAAAGAGGAACTTCTGATGATGGGCCCTGGCTATGTAGACGTGTGTTTGTGTCTTCTTTTCGGCAAGAAAAAGGTTTCAGAGAGTGGGTTTGAAGGTGCACTGTTGCCGTTCCGCACGGCTTCCTGTCTGCCTTCAGGCAGCATCTGATGTGTTTGAAACCAAGCAATCAGCAGAGGCAGACTTTGGGGGGGGGTAAAGGGAGCCAGTCTTGAATGGAGAAACAGAAATTTGTTAATTAAAAATATGCTGAAATAAACAATGTATTCAACAACCGATGGAAAATTAAATCTTTTAACGTTGCAGACGGGTCCAGAAGAGGGTTGAGGAAATGAGGTGGAGTATCTCGTATCATTGCTCCAGTGGAACCTATTGTACACTTCTTCCTATGATTTGCTGCTGTTCTGCGCTTATTTTTTTTGTTTTGTTTAGTTATATGGCTCGTTTTTGTACAAAACTAATACGTTTATTCGTCTCAGTAGATGTGTAAAACGGCCATTTCATCGTTGCTGATTTGAGTTGTCTCTTTGTCGGTGTGTTTCCTCCTCAGAATGTTTGAATCTTTAAAATGAAGGTATCACTTGGTGGTTCTTAAAAAGAAGCTAACCTACTTTACATGCATGGAGAGTTTACTCTGGGGTCTAACCGTGCTGTCTTGGCCAATGAGACTTTAGGTTGGGAAAGCAGTATTCACTTTTGTTATATTTGCCTGGGCGACATCAAAGGTACTTCCTGGTACTGAGGTGACCTTGGTAAACTTCCACGAGACATTCCTACTTTGACTTGTGTATGAATTTTTTGGAGGAGGGCTATAATCTTTTTAAACTTTTAAATCATCTCCGGACCCACCTGCCCCTCATGATATCTGCTTCTTTCCACATTCAAAGTATTCTGCTGCCTTTCAGGGTCAGTAACTCACTAAAGATGAAACGTGTCAGACATAAATGGATTATCTTTTGCAATATACTTGTATATCTACAAGTATGTCTATAAGTGAGGGATTTTTTTTTCAAATGGATGGCCTCAAGCTGATCTGTAATTGGTTGCCTCAGATGTTCCAGAGAGCAAAACGCTCTGCCTTCAGATAATATTATAGAGACCCACCTAATACTCCTATACTCCGATTTGGCCCTGCTATTGACGCATGGATCTTTACCATCGGTTAGATATTATAAAATGATCATTTTGAGGGTTTGTTTTTGGGTTACCATCACAAATCCCAGCAGAATGAATGATGGAAAAGGGTTAATCTGGTCGCTGTTTTGCTGTCACCAATAGAAAAAAAGCCTACTGGTCCTTACTGTTAAAACTTAACTGCTGGATCGTAGTCAAAAACAGAAGCTATTGAATTTTGGTGGGGATTAAGATCAAATTAGCAAAACAAGTTCAATTTTGTGTCCTTGTATTACTTGTTTGTCCGTTAGCAGGCATTTAAATCTTTAATGGAGGCATACCATATCAGTTTGAATGCTGACTTTCATTGCCTTCTCGTTCGGCTGTAGTTTTGTTTGTAGGGATTGCAGCGTCATTTTTTTTTAACAGAAGAATGCTGAGCTCAAGACCAATCAGGTGCAATTTGAGAGTGTCAAATGAGTTGAGTGGTTTTGCTGCTGAATGACTAGGGCGATTCTCATTCTCTGCCTGTATTTGTTTACAGGGAGCACTAGCAGCGATGGGGGGGATAATG